CAATTAAACATTTAATAATTTTTAATTTGGCTACTTGCTTCCCTATTTTGGAGGTAATCAGCCTTTTTTGCAGGTTTCAACCATATTTATAGACCCCTCCCCCAAAAAAGCACACTGAGCTGAGGCACTGACCAATGTACAAAATTGCCTGCCAGGGAATAGGTTCAAATTCATGTCTGATACCTTTGTGGATAATAACTACAGTGATGGTTCTGTGAAGTTTTTTAAAACTGTATCGTGTATATATATATATTTTTTTATTTTATTTTATTTTTATATTTATATGTACGTGTATATCAATATATGTAATAGAACTAATAGGGGGCAAAGTTATGATGATTTTTCAGTCACAGCCAGTCACCCTGAGGGAGTGAGTTGTTGTGCCTGTGGGCTTGGGCCCAGGGTCTCAGGGAACATCAAGCTCAATTAGAGTAACATTATGCAAAAACATTGTTCTACATCCTACTTTGGTGAGTAAAGACTGAGATCTTAAAAGTTTGCAAGAGGCCATCTAAGATGCAACAATTAGTCCCCCCTTTGTCTGGAGCAAAGAAGAATGAAGAAAATCAAAGACGCATAGAAGCAATTACTCTCAGGGACTACTAGACCATGCAAACTCAGCCTATATGACCCTGAGATCAGAAGACTAGATGGTGCCTGGCTACCACTGTCAACCAGTGAAAGGAATCAGTTAGGAGATCCTGGATAGAGAGGAAGAAAAATGTGGAACAAAACTCAAAATCACGGGGGGAAAAAAAAAAAACCACCAGGCGTACTGATCTGATAGAGACTGGTGAAATCCCCAAGACTATGGCCCCTAGTTGTCCTTAGGGTCTGGAATTGACTCCCATGGCTTCCAGCCAAACAATAGACAGATGCGGAAGGTGAACATTTACAGCAGGTGGGTACACTCCTTAGAACAGTCAGCCGTGGGAGATCAGAAGGGCAGTATTGTGCACGGTGAGATAGCTCAGAGGGCAGGAATGCATGGGAAAGGATACAGGGAAAAGGTAGCCACAGGCAGGAAGTAGGAGAAGGGCTGTTACATTGTGGGAATTCCAATCAGTGTCATGAAAGAAAGCGTGTATGGACTGCTGTATGGAAAATGAACTTGCACTATAAACTTTCACCCAAATCACAATAAAAAAAATAAAAGTGTATCCCAGGGAAAGTGGTATAGTGGCTGCCTTTGGGGCTGAGGAGGAAGGAAGGAGTAAGCCTGGGGGATCGAGTGAAAACAAGGGAACATTTTCCACCGTCTGCCTTTTGCTGCTTTTTAAAACAAAAATTCCCAACCAGATGACTAAGTCACCCATTAAAAATTTTTAATGAATTTAATTTTAAAATATAGTGAAACAAAAAAAGTAGTGTGGGTCCCCTCGCCCTAGAAAGTCTTAATTCCATAGTTCCAGGGTACAGCCGAAACCCCTGTCCTTGAAAGGAAACAAAAACTCCACAGGTGATGCTGAGGCAGAGCCGAAGTGAGAAAAAAGAAGGCTTTCGGATTAACACTGCTCTGCAGGAGTGGGGAACCTGGCGTTGGGTGCTCGGTAGCTCTCCACACAGTAGGCACGCATAACACCTGGTGGCACTTTTGCTGTTCCCTGAGGTAAATGGAGAAGAAGGCCTTGGGCCCCTTCAGCCTCCGTGGGGCCTGAGGAGATGGTATGTCAGCACAGCGGGCTCTGTCACTGTGGGAGCTCAAGGAGACAGCATGGTGTTTAGTCTTTGCAGATGGATGAATACTGAGACCCTATCTGGAGCCCACTGGCCACAGGGCTAGTGGTGAAAGAGAGCAATGCAGGGTTTCTGCTAAAGAGCCAGTGAGGTCAAAGGAGCGACAGGAATCATGAGGAGATTCAGGCGTTATGGCTGTGTGGCCTGGTAAACCAAGCACTCCCTCTGGGTCATCTGTTTCCATGGGTTTTGATCATGTCCAACCATGTTACCAGACATGTTGATGCTGGCCAGGAGGGACATACATCCACTTCATTCTGTGGAGCAGACTCAGAGAATGTGGGTTCCCTTTCTTCCCACTGCTGGTCTCTCCTCTCAGGAGCTGAATGAGTTTTTTGTCTTGCAGGGATGGTGCTCCGTACTGCGAGAAGGACTACCAGGGGCTCTTCGGGGTGAAATGTGAGGCGTGCCACCAGTTTATCACAGGGAAAGTCCTGGAGGTGAGTGACACACAGGCGCCCCTGAAAGCCACCGCCATTTTCCTCAAGCACCCCCAGAAACACACGAGCGTGTCTTTTCCCATCTCTTCCATCCTTTCCACCTGAGGAGGACAGAAGGTGGGAGATGACGGACGTCTCACAGAATGAGTGTATGGTCCTGCCTCACAGGCAGCGTCTACCAAATATTCAGGTAGAAATCGGAATGAAGGGGAAAAAGGGATGATAAAGGCTCTATTGGAGGTTATGGAGAAGGAAAGATTATATTAGGCCATTTTTATTTTTAGTGGTTAGAAAAGAGGAAATGAAAAGGTGATAGAGTTGTGTGTATATGTGAGTGTGTACCTGTGAGTATGTGCATAGGTATAGGTATGTGTGTATGGGTGTGTGTACATGTGTGGGTGTGTGTACAGGTGGGTATGGGTATATGTGTGGGTGGGTGTGCAAGTATGTGTATATATGAATGTGTGTATCAATGTGTGGATATGTGTATGTACAAGTGCATGTGAGTATGGGTATGTGTACATATGTGTGTACAGGTGTGTGAATATGTGTGTAGGAGCATCAATACATGCATGGGTGGGTGTGCAGGTATGTGTATATATGGATATGTGTATGGATGTATACATGTGTGTGTTAACAATTGTGTGTATGAGCATGTGTAGGTGTGTGTATGAGTATATGTGTGAATATGTCTCTGGGGGTGTATGTACATGTGTAGGGTGTGTACAGGTATGTGGATATGTGTGGGTGTGAGTACATAGGTGGGTGGGTGTACAGGTATGTGTGTGTGTGTGTACATGGATAGGTACCTGTACACATATGTGGGTGTGTGTATATATGAGTAAGGAGCTCTGGTTGTAGTTGTTAAGGAATTTGGCTGCTAACCAAAAGGTCAGTGGTTCAAACCCACCAGTCTCTCCATGGAAGAAAGATGAAGCAGTCTGTTTTTGTAAAGACTTATGGCCTTGGAAACCTAATGAAAATCACTATGAGCCAGAATTGACTCAATGGCAGGGAGTATGTGTGAGTGTGTGTATGTGTGTGGTTTATGTACAGGTAGGTGTGTGGGGATGTGTGTACAGGTGTATGGAGGTGTAAGGGTGTGGGTGGGTGGGTGTGTGAATGTGTGTACACACGTGTCAGTGTATGCCTGTGTGTATACATACTCAGGGATCAGAGGCTCAGAACTGAGGTTGAGAAAAGAAAGAGTGGGTGGAAGCGTAGACTTCCCCACCCTTAGCAACCCACATCCTGGATGCCTGAGAACACCCAGGGCTCAGGCTGAGCCTGCAGCTTGAGGTGTGACTGCCTCAAGTCCGAGGGCTTTGTTCCTGCTTCTTCAGCAGCTGCCCCACCAGCTTCTGCCTCTGGGCTGAGCCCAGTTCCTCTGGAGCTGGAGGCCCATCGCAAGGAATTATGCGGCCAGAGTTCAGAGGGAGTCACTGCCCCACTTACCACAGGCCTAGGGTGTTAACCATTTCTGACTGGAAGAATAAAGGTTGCCACACCCATGTCCTACACTTCAGGACAGAGAACGTTGAAGCAGAGGTAGGTCTGAGAGCCCAGCAGCTGGGACTGGAATGGGTTGTACAGCTTGTCACCTCATTCCATCAGACACCAGGGCAACGAATCCATGGAGCCGTATCCCAGCCTCCCCCTAGGGCATGTTTCAGAAACACAGGACATAAATCCTAGGGGTCTACCAAGGTGCTTCTGGGCCACTCATTCATGAAATTTCACAGCAAAGGCCCCCTTAGACTCACTGGTCACACAGCAGGCTCTGTGACACCTTTCTTTCATGAGACACAGAAGGGCCACTCTGTGCTAGGAAATGCAGCAAACTACCTTGGGAGATACAGGAAGTCATGTTGTCGAATGCAGCTGCCTCTTAGCCACGGAAGAATGTTCTAGGAAGAGACAGCAGCGCCCACAGAGCCTCAGAGGGTGGGACAAGCACAGCACAAGCAAGAAACAGACCTCAGCTCTGTGGGCCAGGGCCATGGGTAGGCAGAGGGTGCCAGACAAGTGGGAGGGCCTTGGAAACCACTTTCAGAAGCGTGGGCTTTGTCCCAAGTGTGGTAGGGAGCCACTCCTGGGGCTTCCAGCCAAACAAAAGACAGGCATAGGAGCTGCACATTTACATTAGGTAGATGCACTCCTTGGAGAGATCAGTTATGGGAGAATAGAAGGGCTGTGTATGCACAAGGAGACAGCTGGATGGCAGGAGTGCATGGAGGGAAGAACACAGGGAAGAGGTAGCTATGCGGGGGAGGAAGTGGAAGGGGAGCTGTTGCATTGTGGGAAATTGCGGTCAGTGTCATGAGACAAAGTGTATGTGAACTGCTGTATGGAAAATGAATTTGCTCTGTAAACTTTCACCCAAATCACAATAAAATTAAAAAAAAAAAAAAAAAGTGGTGGGGAGCCACGGACGTGGTTGTGGCCGGAGTGTAATATGATTGGATCAGATTGCTTTGTAAAGAATGGATGGAGGGGGAGGCTGAGAACAGGGAGGCCAGTTAGGAGACTCCTGCAGAAGTCTGGGTACAAAACAGTGGTGGTACCAGCTTGTGCAAAACCTGAGAAGTGGACCCCACCCTCCACACGCACAGGTCAAGGCCAAGCGTTTTCATGGTCTGCCCAAGAACGTGCTCATGGTCACTCCTAGTGTACATCGAGGCTGGGGTTTGGGCCCAAGGAGAAGCCTGTGCCCAGGAGGCCTGTCGGAGAATATAAGTGCCCCATCTAAAGGACACCTTGGAGTCTGAGTGGTCGTGACCTAACATTCAAATGCACGGCTAGGGCTCCCCTGTCTCTCCCCAGAATGGACCTGTCGTCCTCCCCAGACCTCAGAGAGCTCCTCCCAGGAGGAAGCCTGAGTGGGACCCAGCAGCATTTTCCCTGGGGTTCCCAAGTTTGATCTGCCATGTAGGGCAGAAATAAACCTCCTGAGGTGGGAGTGATTGGGAAATTTCATTTTGCAACAGCAGTACAAACACCAGAACCATCTCTCAGATGTTCAGCTACAGAAAGAGAGGTGGGAAGACACGGAGCACAGTGCCTGGATTTGAACCAGCCTCATTTGCAGAAGGCACGGCTGAAGCAGCTGCCTCCTGCGTCCACACATGGAACGGTGTTCCCCCAAAAGGGTTGGGGAGGCAAAAGGACTCGGATGGGGGGGTGACTTGATTACTTTCAGACTTAGCTCAACAGCTGTGGGGAGGAATATCTAAAATAAAGTGAGGTCCAAGAACATGCCTTTTGGAAGGAACATCTGCCCACCCTCTTTTTTCCCTCAAGGCCTGAGTATTTCACTGTTCACTGCATCTGTAAAGGCTCTTACCACATTGGCTTCAGGTTTCAGGGAAGGCCCTTCTGAAAGCGTGGAGGCTCAGGCACTTTCCAGAGACTGCTTTCAGAGCTGGGAACCCTGGGAGTAGTTTGCACCATGCTCAGCCTTAGAGTCTGGATCCGCCCTGCTGGTGTGTTACCCCTCCCAGATGGGTGTGTGATCTAGAAAAATGGGTCTTGCGAGGTTATCACCCTGACATGTGACTGCTCATGAGTCAGTCTGGCTTGGCTACAATATAAAACAGGGCTGGTATGCGCACACTCCACCCTCCTCCACCCTTTGTTCTCTGACCCCTTATTGGAGACATATTGTGATTGCAGGTATGTTGTACTGAGAGCCCTGACTTTTTTTTTTTTTTCGTAACTGGGTTGGTCCTGAGTAGTCTTGTAAAGGTGCCTGTCCAGTAACTCCGTTGGGGGCAGTAATAGAAGGAAGGCCCAACATGAGTGTCAGGAGATACTGTAAACCCAGCACACAGCACAAGTGTCAGCGGTGGGGGCTGAAACTCTGGGTGGTTCTGATTTGATGCTAAGCCGGGCCCACGGAGCCCTGGGTGAGGTCAGATAGGTGATATTCTGCCTTCTTTTCACTCTCCTGCTGTAAATAAGTGTTTTTTCTGTGATCTATTTAGTGACTTTTTTTTTCACATTTCTGTTCCTTTGCATGTATGTGTGTGTGTGTGTGTGTGCATGCATGTGCACACACGCGTGCGATTCTACTATTTTAATCAGCCCCTGAGCACAGTGCCAAAGCCGTGTCCAGTGTCCTTGAGCCCAGGGCTGGAATGTGCCTTTTGGAGAAAAGGCTCGTGTTAGATCAGCTTATTCAGGCATAGGTTATAGTACTGTTGGAGCCCACACCAAACATGGAGTTCTTGCCATGAGTTTCATGTTAACAAATCAACAATATATATTCAATTAGGTGCCTTTAAACAGAAGCATGGGAGCTCTGGTAACATAGTGCCTAAGGCACCTGACTGCTAACCAGAAGGCTGGTGGTTCAAAACCACCAGCCACTCCTCGAAAGGATGGTTGGGCAATCTACTTCCATAGTGATACCGCCTCAGAAACCCAAGGAGGGGTCGCTATGAGTCAGATACGACTCGATGGCACATAACAACAAAAAAATAACAGAAGCACACACAAGACAAAGTTATGAACTGATCATTCGATGAAAACATTGTGACCAGAGGCTCCTGGGAACCTGACACTGTGTTTCCCCAGGGAGCAATGGTTCATTATTCACTAATTAAGTGTTTGCAGTGACGTCACTACCACAGATAACAAGAATCCTCTATTTACGTGAAACCCAAGAGCTGTGCTGCTTGATTTCTGAAGTCGCTTTGGCTCCGATGGTCTGAGTTCTGTGACTCTCCATTGTGGATTTAAGGTGGCAGAGCCGGCTGTTCGCTCTTCTGGAAACTGGCATGTGGCACTCAGCATGTAGTATACACACACAAGTATGCAGCATCTGTGCTCCAAGTGTAGCCTTATCTATCTCAATGTGCTTTCCATTTTGTTTTCTACGGCAGGGTTTTCTTTTCAGGGAACTCTTGTCATAAATAATACAAAAGTCTATGCTAATTAACAGGCAAATTCAGGAACATGCTGAAGGTATTTACAACCTGCCTCCTAATTAAGGAGTCCAG